AAAAGAGGATAAAACTGTTTCGGACACTGAACTGTCTTTACGTGCTGATCGGATGTTTGACTTTGTACAAGAGATGGGAGACTTAAAGCTGGCCCCTTGGAGTTGGTGTCACCCAAAAAATCTCTTTCTTGGTCTTGATTTATGATGCAAAGACTTGGTCCCCAAAAAAGAGGATAAAACTGTTTCGGATTCTAGACTGTCTTAACGTGCTGATCGGATGTTTGACTTTGTACAGGAGATGGGTGATTAAAAAAATGTAAGGAAAGATTGAAAGATAGCTCATTTTAGGTAATATTTCATACATTAAAACTTAAAAACAAGAAGGAAGAAAAAAAATTAAGATTGTTTTTGGATAATTTTATTCAAATACAGAATTCAAGGAAGAGTGGGAAATTCGATGTATATTTACGTCTTGCATTTCAGTGGGATTGAGACGGCCTCTATGAGATGTGCAATGCAAGTGGTTTGTTATCATTAGGAAGCTGGAGTCTTTTTTTTTCCAACTAATTCCATTAATGGATTGCATGTGCTTTAATATAAATCAAGGAGCATCGCCATCGTGTTTTCGCGGCACAAAATTTCAATTAATCTGAACGAAACTACAGAATTTAAATGAGAAAGGGTAAATAGACACCAAACATTCTGATTTGAAGAGATAGCCACAAACTAATTAAGAACAACAATGGCTAAGGAGAGTTTCGTTCAGTATTGTTTCATTAGTTATATACAATTTTCCTCTTTCAGGTACCGGGAAGGTAACAAGTTCAGAAATAATGCAATGGTAGACGAGTGGCAAGTGTAACTACAGTTCAAAGAAAACTTTTTTAAAGCAGATTCCTTCATGGAAATAGTTTTCGAAGTATTTGGATTGAATCCCTGTATCCCTCGTTTTTTTCTTCTTCCTGAGCAATTTCTCCAAGACGCTTCAAATAAGGCCAAAATATTTCCTACTGTTAATTGGCGAGATAAAGATGGAGGCGTGTTGAATCTCAAGCGGTGGTCTAGCAATTAGCTTCTTTTGTTTCACATAGAAGTAAAAAAAAAATATTCAACCAGAACTATGTCTTAAATTGCTATCATTTCGTTTTTTTTGTTTGTTTAGTTACGGAAAAATAATTTTAAGATAAAATGTGGACTTAGATTGCGGTGATTGTAACTGTTGTGACATAGTTGAACGGAAGCCTCCGTCATTCTTCATAATGGTCCATAAATTGTCTGTGAACTGTAAACTACTAGAACTGCCTATTTGTTAATAGATAATAACCACGTGCCTTTCTCTTTCAGTCACTGTGGTGTAAAAAAGAAGCTCAACGAGACGTGAATCCATGTTATACACTTAAACGAAGTGCAGTCTTTATAAAAGTATTTTACCTTATGTTAATAACATCCATTTTAAACGCATACGTTTTGTGTGACCAAACGTCATGGTGTTTTTTTCAAGGTTGATCTTTTCTCTGATGGGAGGACTTGTCAGTGATAGTGGCTGTGTGTACCATAACAAGTACTGTCAAAGAATTTTCGTCCTTCGTTTTTACATAGGTTAGACCACCTCAATAAAGAAACCGAAGACAAATATCATCCTTGGTGAGGTGAATAGTAGACAGTGTTCCAAACTATTCGTAAGAGTTGTCTGCCTTACGGTACCAACATCTTTTAATTACACATATGTATTACGGCAGAGGTTTGGTGAGAAGGGGTTTTAAATCCTGTAAAATAAAATATTTGCAAAAGCTGTCTTCCTTGTGGTAATAACATCGTGTCATGCGCATGTGTGTTAAGAAAGACATTTGGTTGCACAAAACGCATATGTTTGAAATTAAATGTTACTACCACAAGGTAGACAACTTTTACAGAAGTAAGAAAACTGTTTGCAAGAGGTGGGTGTGGTGGGGGAGGTTGGATGGAGAAAAAAAAACAACTGTCTCAAATTACTGTAATATTACTGTATTAAAAGATTGTAAGAAAGAGATGGTAATATTACTACTGTAATATATATACACATATATATAACATAAATTATTATATATATATTACTACTGTAATATATATTAAAAGATTGTATTGTAATACTGTGCTGTAATATTAATTAAGTGTATTAAAAGATGCGTGAATCACAGGGTGGATGACTTCTCAAGAGCTAAGATTTTTTTTGGTTTCCTTCCAAGGTTAACTTAAGTACCGTCTAATAGGGGCGGGTGTGGTGGGGGATGGCTGACGGATTGAACCCCACTTTTTCACTTTATTATCTGAATTGGGGGTCGATCCGGTTTTTCTTTCTTTCTAAGATTGATATTTGGCTCTGGTCTTATGTTTAAGGTAATCTTGTTCCTTGGTATCCTGCTTTGGTTCCTTAGTATCCAGCTTTCTAAGATTGATATTTGGCTCTGGTCCTATGTTTAAGGTGATCGTGTTCCTTGCTATCCAGCTTTAGATGGTCGAACAAAACTGCAAAACAGGAAAATGAAATAATCAAGACCGAGAATTCGAGCCATAAAAATGTTAACTCCAAATTTTTTGCCTTCCTTTCCATGGTCTTTTGTATTTAAAATAAAATTGAAGATTAATAACGTCGAAGCTATCAGATTAAAAGTTCAAGATTTCCAAGAGAGATTAAAAATACTATTTACAATTACAGTCTTTTTCCTTATCTGGCAGTCTGAAGTAAACTACATAACAATTGTATTTAATCAGCTGAGGACCAAGAGACGTCAGTCTTCAAATTGGCTTCTCAGTCGAGCAAACCTTACTCCATAGTGTAGAATGAGCTTTTTCTTGATGTAATTACTGTAGAAGCTTTTCTTCTTATAACAAACTGCAAGGTAATGCTCTCTTAGGTCCAATCTTTGTCATTTGCTTCATCCAGCAATCTAAGGAAAGGTTTAAGATTACAAAGGTAAACTGTGCTCTTATGTGAACGGGCAGGAAATAAACATAATATCCTTAAATACGAAACCAGGTTCAGTGCACTGTTTAAGTCTTTGAGTCGAAAAAACCATCAAGTACAAATTTATTAGAATGAAGAACGCATCGTTTATGAAATAAGTAAACAGCGATAGAAAGAACAAACAGAGAAGGGCGAAACTGTAAGCGGAGAGCTCTCAAATCACTGGAGTAGAGTGAATTCTGCTTTAGGCAAGGAATTGCATATTACAACTTGCGTTTTACACGTAGCTTTCTGAAATGGCTCCGCAATTCTAGCTGCTGTAAAGCAAATATTTCTGTAATTACTGATAACACGAAAAACAATTTTGGCGAATTTTAGGCCATGGAGATCCACTTTCGGAGTTGTATGACGTGAATTTGACTGATTCGATTTCATTTTATTCATTTTTTTGGACACTAAAATGGATATTGGTTGACTTTCTAATTACTAGAATTATATGTTGAGGATTAAACAAAAATAATTGAAATTAGCGTATTCTCTATAATTTAGGTTTGACTACAAATTTCAAGAAGTTCACCTAAGCCAAACCTTGCAGTTATTTTGGACCTTTATGCAGTTCAGTTTTACTATGCCCTTAGACGGTTAAATCCTAATAATATCATTGAGATCTAACCAAAAGACTGCTTATGCAAGCAGTTTCAAGTAGTGAGAATGATAAACGATCAAAAGTAAGTAGATAGTATCCCACTGTCAAACTGAACGTCTAAATTGGTTTCTGTAAAAAATAACCATGGACTCAGTAAAATGAAGAACTTTTTAACCTGTAATCAGTATACCATCATATCATCTTGTAACCTTCAATTCCAGTAGACATCATTGACCATTCTTCCATAACTGCAATCTTTAAATAAACCATTTTCCACTTGAAAGAGACAGTTTCAGCAAAATTTATCTGCGGATGAAAACTAGTAAAATATTAAGTACTATACATCTAAAGTGAAAAAATACTTAAACTAGAAAATAAAGCAGAGTCAAAGTAAACACCATTTCACTGCCAAAGTAAACTCCATGTCGCCAGTTTCCCCACCACCCCTCTAAAGAGGAGAGAATTCGCGTAATTCTATTCCAACCGAAAAGTATTGCTGATTATTCTGGCCCAAAAAACGATGATTGTATATCACGAACACAGCACAATTATATGGGCATTACGTCACAAGGATAACTTTCCCAATGGCAAAGCAAGTAATGCAACACTTCCTTACCACACAGCTACAGGCCTTTACGACACATTTGATTCGTAAGAGCGAATAGGAACACAAAAACTGCTTAACTGTGGGATTCGTTTTGGTAAAAGATATTGCCGTTAACAGACTTGACTTCCCCGAAAGGCAGCTAACCTGCCTAATCTATCTCAGTGCCCCCTCACCCCCTCCTCCGGAATAAACCATTAACAACTGAGTCCAGGAAAACAAACTTCCTTTAAGATAGATCTTCAAAACCCCTGAGCGAATCTACGTGCGACGTTGAACGGGGGCGGGGGCAATCAGGTTCCTACTACAATATTTATCAATCTAACCATGGCTTCTCTCCATGGAAGCGAGACAAACAACGGTTATCTTTAAAGACTTCTGAAGTTGAGAGGCAATCAGGATTAATACCTTCCCCCAATAGAGAAATAAAATGATAAAAACCCATGTTCACCCTTCAATCTGTTTTTCCACCACGATTCTTATTTCCTTTAATATGTTTTACGACTTATTCATGAGTTTGAAAAATATTGATCAAAAGAAATCGAGACAACCTCTTTTATTTTTCTCTCAATGCGTCAGCGGGTGGTACCCGACAAATCCTGCGATATGATTGGTTCCAAGAGCGAGAGGTATTCTCCCATAGCGGAAGGTATACATTGCGTGATGAGTCGACGAGAACATCCATCGTCTCGTTGCAATTTTCATAGATGAACTCGCTGGTTACAGAAATTTTGCAATTTAGAACCCCCGTTGCGAAAAAGAACAGCACATTATTCCAACTAAGTTGCCCATCTTTACACTTCGTGTATGCAGAGGGAATCAAAACGTGACATAAAAAAGCGTGAATAAAGACAACGATATCGGAGCAGACAATTCTCCTGCTGGTCAAAAAGTCAGCCAGTCACCCAGTCAGCCTGCAAGCCAGCCAGCCAGTCGGCTGGTAAGTCAGTTGGTTGGCCAATCTGGCAGACCTTCCATAAGTAAACAAGCCAGCTAGTCAGTCAATCAAACTGCAAGCCAGTCTGAAAACTCAGTAACGAGGCAGCCAGCCAGTTGGCTGGTCGGTCAGTCAGTCAGTCCCTCCCTCAGTCAACCACCCAGCCTGTCAGCCAGCCAGCCAGCCAGTCAGCCAGCCAGCCAGACAGTCAGCCAGCCAGCCAGACAGTCAGCCTGCCAGCCAGCCAGACAGTCAGCCTGCCAGCCAGCCAGCCAGCCAGACAGTCAGCCAGCCAGCCAGCCAGCCAATCAGTCAGTCAGTCAGTCAGTCAGTCAGTCATTATATTGTAGCACATGATGAAACTAAATGACTTACATGAGTTCCAAGAAGACAGGCCCTATGCCAATTTGCATCTTGACTCAGTTTATCCATGCATGTGCAAGGACAGGCACACAACAAAAATCACTCATCAATATGAACAGCTACTAGCCACATAACAAATTAGAGGTTTGATCTCCTCATGTAAAAGTCCTATCATACATGAATAGTAAAAATTAATATTTAGTGAGTGTAAATATAATATTTGAATCTATGAGCCTCTCAATTAGTACTAAAAATTTAAGACCTGTAAACACCAAATATCAAAAAAACGTGAAGCCTCAAAATACTAAAAAGATGTTTAACTTAAGACCCTGAATAAAAGAAAACCCAATAAAGCCTTGGACGTAAAATTATAGTGAAACCCTGAATCTGTCCACCTGGGAAAACCAAAAAGACTTAAGCATAAATTTAAAAGTCTTCAAGTGAAAAAGTAAATACATTAAATAAGTTCTGTTAAAGCACTTGTTGGAACAATTTAATGTGGTCCACTCAATTTAACAGTACTATAATAAAAACAAACAAACAAAAAAACTCCAGTCATACCTTCCAAATTAGAAGGGTTGTGAGCCAACAGCTTGGTGAAAGAACTCCTTGCATATCCACTAGCATCTAGGATGACAACATAGAGCCAACTTCACCCACATCCATATATTTAAAATTTGATAGAAAACCATGAAACTGAAAAATAAGTCACCTTTCATTTACTCAACTCAACTCAATTTTTCCTTTAAATTCGTTCTTCTGCAGCGAGCGTAGCCTTTGCTTGGTGCTGTCTCGATTAAGACTTGTGTAGACTTTAGGCTACCTTTTCCCCCCAGAAGCCACAATATTATGCAACCTTTGACAACTGTAAAATAAGAAAGCAGGGGTTGGTAAGTGACAATTGCTGGTGTATTCTGGTGCCATTGCCTTGCAGTCAATGATCAAGAAAAGGCTAACATCTAGACAACCTACTTGGATCGAGAATGAAGATAAAAGACTGTTAAAACGCACTTTCCATTCAAGTGAAATCAAATTACATTTCATTCACGACTGTAACTACAGCAAGATATCAAATAGAAATCATTGTTGTTGTCAGTCATCATCAATCTCCTAATACTCCTCACTGTCATTTCTTGGCTCAATATGTTCTACTGTCATCCTTTTATGGTGAATCTTAAATAAATACACTCTATTAAATTACAACATGCAACACTCTTTAATGGGAACAAATTGCATTCTATCAGTGTCATAGTAGCTTACTTTGACCTTATTTATTTGCCTCTCTATGTACAATGTAAGTAGCCCATGCAGCCAAAGCTCTTCCAAAAACTTTACAAAAACAATACATTAACCCTAGCTAGGTCTTGAGGCCTTCATTTTTCATTTATAGTTGGCTGGCCAACTACTTGTACTGGTTGTCCAGTATTTCATAACAGTTACCGGTATATTGCACTGCCCCATTTGTTTAGAGGTTGGACAAAACTATCCACCAGACAAACTGCTAATTAATTTTCTGGACAATAACATCTGGGATATTGCCCCATCTAGCCTTCTAAAACCTCAGATCTGATCTAACACTTTATTTAGGGCTTGGCATCAAAGAAAATTAAGGAAAGGCTCAAATTAATAAACCTTATTCCCTGGTTTAATATATAATAGGCTCTTATTTTTTATGCAAATGAGCAAAATGTCTGGTTGTATTATATGTTAAACCATCATCATCATCAGCAGTTCATCGCAGGTGATGTTGACTGAGAAATGGTTAAGTGCTGCAGGAGTGTTGATGCACTAGATCAAAGTACATCATGTGCATATGTAGTGCATATGTTACACCATCAAATAAGTGATTATTAATCCACTACAGATTCGCTTTTTTTTTAGTTTTTAGATTTCAAACTAAATCCTACTACGTTATCTGTATTGCATCAATCACATTACACAAGCAAAACCATTAAAGTGTTTTTTTATGACTGACACAAAAATTTTAAGCCCTTACAAATTTGTTGCTCTAAAAGTCAAGCTAAAAAATGTAATAAAACAAATTTGGATTGTTCAGTGCAGCCTTTTTGTTACTATCCTTTTCATCTGCATTTTTACCATAGTCTACTGTGAAGTACAGTATGACCTTGTGCTTAGAAAACGTGTTTCTAAAAAGAAAGAAACTTAACCCTTATGGAGTATCCAGTGATTAAAAGTGTCACATCTATGTGCAGCAAGACTCATTCTGTCACAATTTTACTAGAGTGCCATCAGTCTAAGGGATTCTTCAATAAAACTTTGCAGAGCCTTAACAACAAAAGTGCCACCTTCCCCAAACTAAGTTTAGTTTAAAAAAAGTAATTTTCACAATGGTCTCTAAAATAATGAGTGGAAACAACCATATTCTTGTCAAGTCCTTAAGAAACCTAACTAACACTAAGTTCTTTGCAAATTATTGCCTCCATCTTCAGAAATAAAACCAGAAAAATGCAGAACATCATACCCACTCTTGCCTTGCTAAATTAATAGTTAATTATCAACCAAATATCACTGTTTTTGATTACAAACAAAATATGAATCTTAATCTGACTGCATAGA